CGGTGATTGGCGGGCGCCAGAGTAATGACGCAAGAGTTTTTTTTGGAGGCGTGCAAAGGGGGCGCGGAAGGCGTCCGACAGGAAATCGTGTCCAGCCTGGTTAGCACCACTGGAGTTGATTGCGATTCTTCTCGCTCCTGAGGGGCACTTGGATAGAGTCGATTCGGTCTCGGAGGAGAGATTCCATTGGTGGAGGCGTTCCTGCGCAAAGCGGCGCCAGAGGCTGGATATGTCATAATTAGACACTCGCCGCGAATCTCGTCGGACTGGCGCGCGAGCGCGGGGTTCAGGCTGCCGGGGAAGTGTGGTCAATGTGATCTTGGCGACGCCGTTGCTGCCGGCATTCGCGCGGTTCACTTATTGCCGCTCATCGGGAAAAGGGTGGCGCATCATTAATACGTTCAAACCGTATCAACCCTGTCCGTTTCACCTTTTCATTTGTCGCTGGCTAGGCGCGAATGGGGCGCGATTGCGGTTGCGCTGATCTGCGCGTGCTTGCGCGCGCGAGCGTTTGGCAGGTCTCTTGCGGCGCGCCCTCATAATCTGGCGGATGTTTTCGGGGGCGTGGATCGGGGGGCCATGCGCGACGATGCGCAGATTGTCGCGTGGGGAGGTTTTCGGTGATCATGGTCTCCAACGTTTCGAGGGGGCGACGGCTGGTCTGCCTCCTCCTTGCCCTGGGGGGCCTCGCCTGCTTGCGAATTGGCCGCGGGGTTGTTTTTTTCTCGGGGGAGGGGGGTGGGGGAGGCGCCGCGCGTTTGTGAGCGCGCCCGCCCAGCGTCGGCGAGTGTCAGCAGGATGCGCGAACTAGTCAGTGAGGCGATCGAGAGATTTGCGCCGAGGGTCCCTCCCATGGGCGAGAATTCGACGCGTCGGCTTCTAGTCTCCCAGCTATGTGCGAGAGCTCTCGGGCCAGACAGGGTGTCATCTTTCGGGCTCTGCACCGCGTTCGCACCTTGCTCCCACTGTGCGCAGGCGCAATCGGGGCAAGCTGGGCCGCTTCCATGTCCGCGGGGATCGGCCGTTCGCAGACAGCGGCGTGACTCGGAGACGGCGCTGTCGTTGTCCCAGCGCGTCGCGCGTGACTCGCGGAGTTCCCCAGGTAGCGACGCAGCGGAAGTTAAGAATAATGCGGGGCCACTTTTGGGCTAGTTGGCTCGAACAATCTCGATGGACAAAATCCTGGCATTTCCGTGTTTGGAGCATATTTTGGAAGATGTTTGACGTTCGATTTGGGGTGGGTTATTTTTTCCTGCTCGCCGTCTTAATCTCAGGTCGAGCGGAGCGCTTTGATCGGCAAAATCTATGGGGGCGGGCGCTCGCCCTGAGACCGTATCTTCTGCGTGCGTTCAGTTTATGGACTGAATCTCGAGATTTAGAGTAGCTGTAGACGTTTCATATTTAGCAATAGCTTCAGCGGCATCGAACGCATTAGTATAGGGCCTCGAGAATCCTGAGATCGATCTGCAACTCGAGCTATTGCCGTGTGTGTGTACACACATATATATATATATATCTATTTGCACTCTGCATTTTCTGGGTGATTGTTGACTTGGACTTGATCTCGAGATTCAGAGCGGCTGCAGGGGCTTCAGGTGGAACAGTAGGTTCGGCAGCATCAGAACTGTCGATCCAGATGCTCTAGACGCCTCATATCGGTCTGCTTCTCGAGCTATGGCGGAACAACTACTCGCACTCTGTGGCTTCTTGGAGCACATGTTTAGTTTTCGGACTTGGTCTCGAGATTTAGAGCAACACCAGAGGGTGTATTTGGACTGATAGGTTCAGCAGCGTCAGAAGCAATCGTGCAGATGCTCGAGGAACGTGGTATCGGTCTGCTTTTCGAGATATGGCCGAACACGTATTCATGCTCTGCAACTTTTGTGGGCCTTTGGACTTGATCTCGAGCTTCTGAGCAGCTGCAGAGGTGCTATTGGTTTGAATGGGTTCAGGGCGCGTCCCATTGCAATCGTTTATGCGATCATTTCTAGAGGCGTCTGTGCTCGGACAGAAGCTCTGTGAGTTCCCCGGCGGTGGCGCTTGGTGACGGCTTACCTCCGGCGCCCAGTCTTCCGCCCGCTATTTTGATTTGCAGGTTCGCTTGGACCAGGGCTTTGCGCTTCGGCTGCGAAGTGTAGGCGAGCCATCGTGGTGGCGTGCGAGGCGCTCGGCACGTTCGGGCCGCTCGCTAGCCGGCCGTGGGAGGCAACGCGTAGCAGGCTAATTTTTCGCGCCCCGAACGCCGTGTTCTACGGGGTGGATGCGGACGTTTTGAGAGAGTCCAAGCGCCGTGAGCTTGATGGGGCCATTGCTGTTCGCGCTATGAACGCCGCGCAAGGGGTCGCGCATGCTTTCAGGCATGAAGACGATTTCGAGCGACGCAGCAGTCTGGGCCCAGGCGGCGTTTGGCGACGCTGGCGACGGGCCAAGCGAGCTGCAAATGCACGCTCGCAGGCTGCAGCGCGCGGGCCAGGTCGCCCCGGGGGCCTGGCAGCGCCCGCGAGCAAAGCTGAGGCCCAGCAATCGATGTCGCGGGGGCCGCCGTCGCCCTGGGCGTCGACCACTTGCATGGCGCTTCAAGCGCTGGCCCGGGGGCCGCGGCGCAAGGCTGGAAGAGGCCCCGAAGGTTGGGGGGGTCGAGCATCCATGCGGCGCGACGCCGCGGGGGACCTGATCGGCGATGGGAACGGGGCTGCGGCGGCCCGATCGACGAGCGCGCTGGCCCGGTCGCGCTGGACCAGCGCGGCGGAGATCGGGGAGGTGGCGGGGGCGATGCAGCGGGCTCGCCCGTCGCCAGCTACCGCGCGCGCGGCGACGGAGCGCCGCGCGGAAGGGCGGGCCTGCCGCGAGGGGGCCAAAGAGGTGACAGGCGGCCCCGCGCAGGCAGGCGCTCTCGGCCCCCCATCCGCCCGCGTCTCTTTCGCGCTTTGAGGGGGGTCGCCAGGGGGGCAGCTCGGGGGGGTCCGCGGGCGCGCCGTCGGGGTCAACTGGGGCGAGCGCGCGGCGGGGGCCCAGACAGCGCTCTGCTTGGCGGCGGCCAGCGCGGCGTTGCGAGCGCAGGCCCGCCGAGAGGGTGGACCGGGGGCCCGGCGCGTTCAAGCTGAGCTTCGCTCTGAAGTGCGAGGGAGAGGCCGAGGTCGCGGATGCGATCGCCCAGGGGGGGGGGGTGGGGAGTCAGGCAGGCGTCGCGAAGATAGGTCAGCGCCTCGCGGGCCGCTGGAGCGAATGAGAGGAACTGGAGGGGCGAAGGGTCGGGCAAGGGCAGCATGTGGTGGCGGCGGGGTCGGCGGCGGCAGCGTCCGCGGGGTGGTTGGGGACATCCAATCGCCGAGGCTCGCGGTAACGCTGGAAGGTGGCGATATGACGGCGCTCTCAGAGGATGCAGGCGCTCGTTGAGGCGGGCGCGTCGGGGGTAGAGGCTGCCATTCGAATGTTTTCGGCGGCGTCTGTTGCTTTGCCGATTAGGCGAGCCGCGGGCGAAAGGGGGCGCGGGGCGCGGGTGGGCGTGGAGGCTGGGCGGGGGGTGGGTCGCAGGATCATGTTGGTAACCATGGCATTTTTTGTTTGCAACCAGGAGGCTGGGCCTCCACCGCGGAGATGCAAGGCGGCCCTGGGGGTCCTGCTCTAGTTCGGGCGCGTTGCAGAGTGCCCGTGCTGGAGCCCGCAGCCAGCGCATGTTGCTGCCAGAAACACATCTCGCAGGCACCTAGTCGTTTCTTGCTGCCTGAAACACGCACGGAACCTGCCTCACTTGGTCATGACATGGAGGCAGCATCGGTCAAGACGCCGTAGCTAGATTCGGGCAGAACGAAAGGGGGGGTTTGGGAAAGGGGGGGGTACGAAATTAGCTGTATGGGGCTGGTTTCGGTCCCACCGAAGGGCCCATTCCTCGATGCGTAAGCGCCTCCGGCGCCGGAAGGCGCCGGGAAAATCAGCTACGCGAGCCGATTCTCAAACCCCCCTTTGCCATCCCCTCCTTTCGCCCGACCCGATAGAGTTGTTGGGCTGAGTTGAGTTGAGTTGGGCCGAGTTGAGCTGAGCTGAATTGAGACGTCGTCCTCGTCTGCGTCCTCGTCCTTCGTCCTCGTCCTTCGTCCGTCGTCGGGCGTCGGTCGTGAGTCGTCGGTCGTCGGTCGTCGTTGCTTTCGTCGTCGTCCGTCGTCGTCGTCGCCGTCGTCGTCGCCGTCGCCGTCGCCGTCGCCGTCGCCGTCGCCGTCGCCGCCGCCGCCGCCGCCGCCGCCGCCGGTGTCGTCGTCGTCGTCGTCGTTGTCGTCGTCGCTGTCGTCGGGGTCGTCGGTCGGCCTTTCGGTCGCCGGGTCGTCGTCGTCGTCGTCGTCGTCGTCGTCGTCGTCGTCGTCGTCGTCGTCGTCGTCGTCGTCCGAAGAGAACGCGCGGAAAACATCATCCGTCTGCTGTTTTTTTGGGGGGGTCATTATCGGTACAATTTTGAAAGAATTCGATCAAAGAAGGGAACGGGTCCCAAAGCATCCCCCTCCCGGGCTCCAACACGCCAGTTTTGTGGGACCGTCATGGGAGGCGCTTGGGGCGCTCTAGGGGACCTTGTGGCCGTCGTGGAGCTACTCCGGGTCCCTCTTGGGGCTCTTGTGGGCGCCCTTAAAACCGTCTCGATGCCTCATAGGTCCATCGGAAGCGAAGTGGCGAGAAGGCAACACACATCGACGACTTTCAGTTTTTGAACAGTGTTGGCTTCCCAGGATTCTCTCAGAGAGGCTCCTTGGCCACTTGAGGCCGTCTTGGGGTTTTTTGTTGGAAACATGCTGGGCGTGTTCTTGTGTTACTTGTGATGCCATATTGGCCCATCTAGGGTAATCTTGGACGCTCTAGTGCCTCGCGGGTCTCGCCGTCGAGACCCAGGGGAGGTACTCCTGTATCATGGCGGCCTTCCGCAGGCGGACCCCTCCAGCCCCCGCTCGGCGACCGCACCTTGGGATGAATCCAAGACGCTCCCAAGAGGCTTCCATGACGGCCCACGGCAGCCACCGTAGCGAGCCATTTGGGCTCAAGCCACTCTGACCAATATTCTATTTCACAGCAAAGGATGATTCACGCCGGCGGCGGCTTCGGTAGCGGCGGCGTGGGCATGGGTTACGGCGACGCGTACAGGGGCGACGCGAATTATTGCGGCGGTGGCGCGGCTTACGGTGGTGCGTACGGCGGCGACGCGGGTTGCTGCGGCGGCTCGGCGGGCTACGGGTACGGCAGCGCCTCTGGCTTCGGTCTCGCCGGTGGCATGCCGCCACAAACTCAGACCTACATGGGGCCTGGTGGTGACTACGTGCAGGAGACGACGTACAAATACGTCGGCATGGGGGCGGGCGGCCCGCAAGCAGTCTCGGAGACGGTCATCTCGAGTACATTGCCCCTGCCTCGCCGTGGCCCCCATTGCTGTTGCCTGTGCCTGATCCCCGTGCTACTGTCGCTTCTGTTGCTCCCGCTGCTGGGCTGGTTCCTCATGGGCTCGACCAGCACTACGACGACCACCACGGCTCTCATCACCACTCCACCACCGCCACTGCTGGCAGCGCCGCCGACGCCTCCGCCTGATGCTCCGACCACGAGCAAGAAAACCACCACGGAGGCTCCGCCGCCGCCCCCGCCACCGCCGCCTCCGCCTCCGCCGCCCCCCCCGCCGCCGCCGCCGCCCCCGCCGCCGGAGCCGGCGACGACCACGGAGAAGAAGGTGGACTGCGCGGAAGGTGATCCGCCGTCTTGGGAGGTATCCAAGAGGGTCACGTGCTGCTTGCAGGCTGGCAGGGGGTGCCCCACGACGCCTCCGCCGCCGCCGCCGCCCCCGCCGCCGCCGCCCCCGCCGCCAGCCCCAGTGGCGCCGCCCCCGCCGCCCCCGCCGCCACCCGCGCCTGTGGTGCCGCCTCCGCCACCGCCAGCTCCTGTGGCCCCGCCTCCTCCAGCCACGACGTCTGAGCCGTACGATTGCGCGGCTGGGTATTCGAATTGGGAAGCGGGGTGGTCTGCAGACAAGAAAGGCTGGTGCTGTTCCAACAAGCACATGGGCTGCGTGGAGACGACGCCGCCACCGGCCCCACCTTCCGAACCGTACGACTGCAACGCTGGGTATTCGAATTGGGAAACTGGCTGGTCGCCGGAGAAGAAGGATTGGTGTTGCGCAGAGAAGAAGATGGGTTGCATCGAGGCCGCATCTAAGCCTTATGATTGTGACGCAGGTTATTCCAACTGGGAGGCTGGATGGAGCGACGACAAGAAGGAATGGTGCTGCACCAACGAGCAGAGGGGCTGCCCGAAGTGAGCTTACAGAGGCAACAGGGTGTCTACGCAGTGCCGTGCTCAGACCATGCGCAGTACAAGTGAAGGATCCGGGATAGTCTCTTCGGGCGTGGTAAGGTCTTCTGGCGGCCAGCACTCCGCGCCACCATTCTCTTCATGTGCTCGGGATTTGGGCAGAGACGCTGCTCGAGGCATATATCCCACTGCTCCTCTCGACAGGCAAAGGTACTGCGAGATGTGAGCACGAGTAATCTTTCCCCATCGGATCAGTATCGACATTTACATCCGAGACGTGATGGTGATCGCGGGTGCGTGGGTGGTGGGTGGGTGGATACGGGGGCGGGGGGGGGTGCGTGAGAAAGATTGCCCGAGGCTTTGAGACAGGACCTGACAAGTCATGCCAAGGCAGCCTCTGGGTCGGCCCCAGACGGCTCCAAGACGCCCTTAAAACGCCCCCAGCCTCCGCGAGGTCCAAATCGCCCAAACACCTTAAGGGAACCAGCGATTTGTGACTTCGCGCTTTTTCGCTCCCCTGGGCCCTTGAGGCCTTCGGATGAGCCCAGGATCGCCCGAGAAAGCCCCGAGTCGGGAGATGCCCAAGAGGGCTCCAAGACGCCTTTAATCTTGTTTAACTCTTGAGGGGGCCAACAACAAGGGCATGCGTCATTGGTGTTCAACGTACCCCCAAGAGCTCTCCAAGAAGCCCTCTGGAGGTCAAGAGTTGGGGAGGGGGACGATTGCCCACGATAGCCTGCCAAGGCGAGAGGGTTCTGGGCTCGTTTGGGCCCCCCCTGCGTTTTTGAGGAAAAAAGTCACGGCGTCTTCCACCTCCCCCTTCACCTCGTTCCTCCTCCGCGGTTTCGGGACTCTAACGTGGGCCTGCGTTTTCATGGTTTCTCATAAGGGTGTTGCGTCGTCTTGTGTGTGTGTGTGTGTGTGTGTGTGTGTGTGTGTGTTTCGGGCTTCAGGCGAAAGGGGGCCTGGTGGAATCCTCTTGCTGATGGTTACACGAGTAAATTTCCCTTTTCTGGATGGTTGCACATCGATTCCTATTGTGTGGGGATGACACATCGATTCCCTTTGTAGGTGGTTACAATTCTTGACGCTTCGCGTGTCCCCTCCAGCCCATCCACAAACGATGCCCATGAGAGATGACGGGGGGAGAGGAAGAGACACGCATAGTCAAACAGCGACGGAGGCCAGCCTGGAGGAGGAGGAGGAGGAGGAGGAGGAGGAGGGAAGAGGTAAGAGGAGCAAGACGAGGAGAATGGAGGACGAGGATGAGGAGAACGAGGACGAAGAGAGTGAGGAGGAGAAGGAGGAGGATGATGATGAGGAGGAGGAGGAGTAGGAGGAGGAGGAGGAGGAGGAGGGGGAGGAGGAGGAGGAGGAGGAGGAGGAGGAGGAGCAAGAGGACGAGGGGGAGGATGAGAACGAGGAGGAGGATGAGGAGGAGGGGAGGAGGGGGGAGGAGGAGGAGGAGGAGGAGGAGGGAGGAGGAGGAGGAGGAGGAGGACGAGGAGGAGGAGGAGGAGAAGGAGGAGGAGGAGGAGGAGGAGGAGGGGGAAGATGACGAGGACGAGGACGAAGGATATGGACGAGATCGAGAGGACCAGAGGACAAGGAGGAGGAGGAGGAGGAGGAGGAGGAGGAGGAGGAGGAGGAGAAACGAGCAAACAGGCGAGAAGGCCAAACTCATTGATGTTCTTTCGGTCTTTGAAGGATGTTGGCCTCTTGGCGGCCTCCTGGGGAGGCTCCGTGGCCATCTTGAGCCGTCTTGGAGCGGTCTTGGGGCCTCTTGGAGCATCTTGGGGGGGCATCTTGGGGCCATCTTGAGCCAGCTTGGACTATCTTAAGCCATCTTGGAGGTCATCTTAGGCTCTCTGAGGCCGCCTGGGGGTCCACTCGGGGGCCTCTTGGGGGCCCCTCGGGGCCCTCTTGGAGTCCTCTTGGGGGGCCTCTTGGGGCGCCCGTGGGACCCGCTTGGGGGCCTCTTGGGAGCCCTGGAGGGCCTTGGGGCCGTCTTGGAGGCGGTCGGTCAAGCCCAGAAGGCTGGTGGGATTTAAGCGATTGGTTTGTTCCCATTCTAATCCACCCTCTCCCTTCGTGCCCACTGGGCCGCCCCCCCCCCCTCCCCACCGAAAAGGGCCCCCCTCCCTCTTCGTGCCCACCGCGCCGCTTCCCCCTCCCCACCGACAAGGCCCCTCCTCCCTCCCCTCCCGGTGGCGACGACGACGACAACTCTTCGGGAGCCTCGAGACGGGGGTCAGTGCAAACGGGGGTCAGCCAGAGCGCCGGATCTTGCAGGATCCTGCAGGGCCAGGGTCGCATTGACCCGGGTTTGGGTGCAGGATCCTGCAGGATCTTGCAGGATCCTTCGCATTGACCCGGGTTTGGGTGCAGGATCTTGCAGGATTTTGCAGGCCTGATTGACCCGGGTTTGGATTGACCCGGGTCAGAAGATCCCGATCCATGTCGACCCTTGTCCTGGGGCGCAGTCTGATCAGGATCTCCAGGCGGACCCAGCCACGGCGACGAGGGCCTTCCCGTCTGGGGGTCCTCGGCGCCGCGGCTGGGTCTCGATTCCGCTCCGGCCGGACGCGATCCGGGGTCCCCGTCGATCCGATTTGATCCGGCCGATTTCTGCCGATTTTTGCTGACCCAGTCGAGCTCCTGCCGAGTCGATGTTCGGGTCGATCAGACTTGCCTTGTCGATTCGATGCCATGACCCCGTGGCACTCAGACGGACCGACGAAGAGTATCGGGACGACGGCGGTGGCTGCGGCGACGACGACGACGACGACGACGACGACGACGACGACGACGACCGCGACGGCTGTGGCGGCGACGACGGCTGAGCTCGCAGGCTGTCCCGACGACAGCCATGCAAGCTAGGGAGGCGTAGCCTTAATCGAGTAGAATACACTGAGGCGTGAACTCCGCGCGGAGCTCCAGAAGTTGTGTGCCGTGCATTTTTTTTGCTTCTGCCAGGTGGTTCTGTGTATGTGTGCTGTCCACCCGAGCGACGCTAAAAACGAGGTCGTCTTTGCCGACACTGGCGGCGCGTAAGCTGCCTGCGTAAGGTTGCGCGCGAGCGCCCTCATCTCCAATGCGCGCTGGCGGCCCACGACCACGCCCACGACCGCAACCACAACCATAACCACCACCACGACCACGGCGACGCCGACGGCGATGATGGCCCTGGCGGCGGCGGCGGCGGTGACGACGACGACGACGACGATGACAACGACCGCGACCACGACCACGACCACGACCACGACCACGACCGCAACCACAACCACGACCGCAACCACAACCACAACCACAACCACCACCACGACCACGGCGACGCCGACGGCGATGATCGCGGCGGCGGCGGCGGCGCTGACGACGACGGCGACCATGAATACCTATGACGGCCGCCGAAGGCCTCCGCGAGGGCCGCCGAGGAGCCTCCGACGGCCGCCGAGGTGCCCGTCAGCTCGACGACGATGGCGACGGCGGCGGCCGCGGCGAGGACGAGCGCCGCGACGGCGGCGACGGCGGTGGCGCCCCCAGGCGGAGCGCCCTCCGCCGGCGGGTGCCGCCGCGCTGCGGGCCTCCAGCGGCGGAGGCGCCGCCGCCGCCGTCGTCGGTGCCGTCGTCGGTGCCGTTGCCACCGCTGCCGTCGCCATCGCCGCGGCCGTGGTCGTGGTCGTGGTCGTGGTCGTGGTCGACGTGGGTGTCGCCGCCGCTGCCAGCGCCGTCGCCAGCGTCGTGGTCGTGGCCGTCGTGGTGTGCGTCGTGGTCGTCGTCGCCGTCGTCTCTCTTCTCCTCCGTCGCTTTGCCGCCGGGCGCGTGCGGGAGAGCTTGTCAGGACGGCGCCCAGGGCGCCCCGGAGAGCGTGTGAGGTCCGCGGAGCGGTTTTGAACGGCTTCTGCTTGCGGAGCAGCGCGCGTTTCTCTTTGCAGTCTCTTTCCGCTCGCGCACCTGTCTTGTTTTGGTTGCACACTCTGGCTAATTATATCGCAGCACATGTGTGGTCTCCACTGCGGCGAGGGGCGCCTTTTCAACGCACAGGACGGGGTCTCCTCCGTTTACGCCGCCTCTCAGCAGGACGGCTCTCTGGCAGCCTTGGCGACGCCTCTGTCCCGACCCTTTCTTCCTGAAAGTTGGGTGCAACTTGTGTGGATGCGTCCCGTTCATACTGGCCCTTGACTCTGGTGCCACATCGCCGGATGATAAAGAAGTGTATGTGTGTGTGTGTGTGTGTGTGTGCGTGCGTTCTTCTAGCCCTCCGCGGAAGGCTCTCGTCGCCATGGCAAAATCCGTTTCGCCCGTCACAGCGCGCTCTGGGACTCGATTTCGAGCCGTCTTCGTCGTCGTCGTTTTTTTCGTCGTCGTCGCTGTCATTTTCCCCGTCGCGGTCCTGCTTCACCAAGGCGGGAGGAGCGGGTTGGGGAGGCGGGGGATTATATTCTAGTGGTTGTCGGAGGAGGTGGAACAGTTTTTGGGACCAGGGTGATTTGATGATGGTGGTGGTGGTGATGGTGATGGCGAAGGTGATGGTGATGGTGTTGATTATGCTGATGATGGTGATGCTGATGCTGATGATGCTGATGCTGATGCTAATGATGGTGATGATGATGCTGATGCTGATGATGATGGTGGTGATGGTGATAATGCTGATGCTGGTGTTGCTGATGACGACGATGATGATGCTGATGGTGTGGTGATGATGCTGATGATGATGGCGACGATGCTGATGATGATTCTTATGATGCTGATGATGCTGATTATGATGATGATGATGATGATGATGACGATGCTGCTGCTGACGATGATGCTGATTGTTGTGATGATGCTGATGATGATGATGACGACGATGATGATCATGATGATGTTGATGGTGATGCTGACGAGGATGCTGATGATGATTGTGATGACGATGATGAGATGCTGATTATGATGATGACTGTGATGCTGATGACGATGATGCTAATGATGCTGATGATGATGCTGATGCTGCTGAGGATGATGCTGATGCTGACGACGATGCTGCTGATGATGAGGAGGATGATGACGAGGATGCTGATGATGCTGACGATGCTGATGATGCTGATGACGATGTTGATGATGATGCTGATGATGCTGATGATGCTGATGATGATGATGCTGCTGACGATGATGATGCTGATGATGATGCTGCTGCTGATGATGTTGATGATGATGAGGATGATGGTGATGCTCATGCTGATACTGATGATGCTGATGATGCTGATGCTGATGGTGCTGCCGATGATGCTGATGATGATGATGATGATGCTGCTGCGGATGCTG